TTTGGACATATTTTGTTAAATGGCCTAACCCCAGATATGTAATAAGAAGTATTTTAACCCATTTATTTACACTCTGCATATATATATATATATATATATATTGTTAAAAGGCTCTGTGATATTTTTTTTTTCCAATCAACACCTGCAATTTTCTAAACAAGTGAAAAACCCAAAATTTAGCTGTGAAGTCACGTGAAATCAACCTCTGCTAGTCAGGAGGAATCCCTTCCTTCTCCCTTCTTAAGAAAACCATTTTTCTTCTTTGATAAGTTGTGGTGGGGCATACAAGAACACGTAAACCCTCTTAAGTTGCACCATGTAAATGATTCTTAGCAGCTGTCATGGCTATTGTAAACACCAAGAATAACAGAAGATAGATGAAAACCTGGCATGCAACTATTATAAAATTCTTAAGGCTACCATCTTGATTCTTTTTGGATGGGATTCAAGCAATGGAATTCAAATCAAACAAGAAAAGGAAGGAGTATCTCTCTTTCCTTCAGTCTAAGTTGTATGATGACCTAACTGAACAGTGTAGATTACCATTGAAGCCTCCTTAGCCAAACACAATCAAGGAAACAGAATCACTAAAATGCCGGAGAACTCAACAAGACCCAGAGGTTTTCTTAAACAGGTTGACACCTGACAGTTATAGGTCAGATATTTCCTGTAAATGAAAGAAAAAGTGGAGAAAAGTTGACATTATAAAAAATGTAGGAACCTAGATAGTTATGTGCAGTGAAGGGTAGTAGACATACAGATAAGTAATTGTAGTTGAAAGCAAGGGAATCAATTATTGGTTAACAGGTCACCTTTGGTCAGCAACAAGTCACCTTTTCATGTAACAGTTAATGAACTTGACTCATTTACACAACTCCTCAGTTTCCATTTCTGTTAAGGGGGAGGAGGCAGTGCAACTATAACATAGAAATCATGTTTTGGCCTATCTTCTTTGCATCCTAAATATTGTGGCTAAATAATTAAAAATTGACTCAACTTACATTCTTAAAAAGTTAAATGGATGACACCTGTACTAGCAAGAAATCTATTAGGGAAAAATTCATCCAGCCAAGTCAGCAGTGGATGCATAATTTTGCAGTTCCTGAAAAAAACGTAAGATCAAGTCAGATTTACATGATCAAATTACCGACTTCAACAACAGGTTGAAGAGGATGGTTTATTACAACCTAACCTGTGTAGACTAAACACTTTCAATCTGTGCTCCAAAGTACTCTATTATGCTCTCATCAAGCATAAGGTCATCAATTGTGCCATTAAATCCAAGATCAAATGGGCTACCACTAAATCTTCCAAACAACGACAGGCTCCTGGTTGGTGAGCCAAAGGGATTATCAACAGAAGAGACTTTGTTCATTATGAAACATGTCTTTCACAAAATGATTTGCATCTCCTCCAATAACATCATTTTCATTTCTACCTAATGATGGTAAATGGATCCCATCTGCTCCCGCCTTAATCCGAGGAATGTTAATTTCCATCTGAGTATGCTGGCTATGATAACCAGGGCCATATTCAACTGGTTGATTATAGAAATCGTAAGAAGCTTCATGAGGCAGCTCTGCTCTTTGTTTGCACCAATGGATAAGCCACTGACCTTTCTTCTACATACATGTTCGGTGTGGAAATTGCATTAGCAGAGGCAATGGTAGGATAATGGTTATACTCAGATGCTGGTAAGGGGGACTGAACCTCGAGACTTTTCTCTGCAGGCCTCAAAGCTGTGC